TTTTAATGTATATTATAGCGCTGCATCTTTTGTTCAGTATTTGCACATTAGGTTCAGAGGTTCCACCTTTATGCCAGCTGCTTATAACTTTTATTACCTAGCGCTCGTAACCTCTTTTACATATATAACACACCGGCCACTTTATTAGGTACACCTGTTCAATTGCTTTTTCCTATAAAACATATCCAATTAAAAAAATATCATTTCTTCATAAATTTATGTCAAAATGCATTCTGCTTTGTCTTTCCCAAAAAAAAAAAAATACCAATACGTGTAAATTGGTTTACGTGAAAGTTATAGCGTCTAAAAATGGCGGTGTATATATACTGGAATGTTTATTTTTCTTATAGTAGTAATGGCAATCAGTGACTGCGGCGGGTATTCTGACACTGGGTGGGAACTGACTAACTTCCACTTACATCCCCAGTGACGCTGATCAGTGCTAATAAAAAGCACTGTGTACTAATGACACTGGGCAGGTAGGGGTTAACATCTGGGGCGATCAAAGGGTTAACTGTGTGCCGTGTGTGTTTTACATTGTGTTGTGTTTTGGTATGGAGACATGCTGCATTGTATTTCTCAGCTGTGCAGAGAAATACAAAGCAGTATGTCCTTGCTGACAGGAGAGAGACCTAGCTTTACCCGATTATCGCCGAGTGCCAGCCAAGACCCGGGGGATTAACATCCCTAGCTGCCAATAGCGGCACGGGTAGGGCAACGCGCGCGCCCCCTACCCAGAGATTCAAATTACATATTTATGCATGATTTTGCACAGCCCTGCCACCCTGTAGTAGTACTTCTACTATAGGGCAGCAGAAAAGTGCTTATCAGGTGACTTCATTATATAATTTGCAAACACATCATCCTTGTTACTGTTACTTGTCAAATCTGTCAGACTAGCTGGTCAGGTTTCATTTTTAAGAGATCTCTCAATAACCACACTTGACAACTGGTTAGGGTACTGGATGACAGAATTCTTGCATTTGAAGCATTTTTTTCCCCATTATCTTTGATGGACATCTCTTCAGATCGATTCTAAATGGTCATTTATCTAGAATGCTGCTGACAGCAAAAGCACTTTCCAAGTGACCAACCTGGAATAAACCTTCCCTATCAAAGCATGTCTAGTGTCCTAGGAGGATGGATGTTTTTCCTCTACTGAGAAAAGCTTCACTGTTTTATTAGCCATTTCATTATTTTTTGCTTCAATCAAGACTTTATCTGTAGCAGTAGCTTTGAAAGCCATACCCAGGCAAGGCTGAACTGGAAGATAGCAGGGCCTGCCTGGGACATAACCTATGGGCACTGGGCTCTTGTGTCACTTTGTGTACCATTAGCTGTACTGCACTTTACAGGTCTAGAGCCATGAACACAGCCTCTGGTGTAATCCTATCTCTGAAGACTCCTTTATGAGTAGGCTGTGTGGTAATAACGGCACTAAAGCGTTCTAATAAATATAGAAGCTCCACTGTTATCCTAATTGTTTTCATGAAAAGGGTTAATACGCTGAACATTTAAAGGATAAGTTCACCTTTTATATAAAGTAATAATAAATACACATTCTTTTCTGCAGGTACAAAAATGGTGCATTTATTTGAACAATGGAGCCTGTAAAGCATTGCACCTGCGATTAGCAGACTGCGGGCGCAATGCCATCCTCCTGCAGACAGTTTTCTGCTCGTACCTCTCATATGGGCAGATAGTTACTGAATAACAGGAAGAATCCATGAACTATGAGAACGCTCACCAGCACCCTCATAGTTCATCAACAACTGCAAACCGTCAGTCGTAACAGCCGAAGGTACATGTAGGTTATTCATTCACAGTACTATGAATAAGTTGTGACCAGGTGGGAGCAGCCCCGCACACAGCTGCGCTTCCCCTCCACAATTGTTGCCTTGACATACCTTCAGCTGTAGCATCCTCTGAGCATTCTGCTGCTGAGACTTTAATGAAGTCTCAGGCAACTGCCATAGCTTCAAGGCTTAAAGAAACCATAACGGATGAAGTACCACCTTACAAATGGAAGATCAGCCTGTAGCTTCTAGGTGTTCCATTACTAGTTGTGATGGGCGCGGTGTCAGACCCCAGCCCTTCTCACCAACTTGTGACCGAAGGACTAGCCAATCTAAAACCGCGCTGCCACTTGCATAACAATGCCACTCAGCTGCACCCTGCGCAAATATTTTCCAGCTCGCTGGACCACAATCTAGGTACCAGCAGCCTGAGAGCTATTGTTACTGGGTCAGGTTAATTACGCAATTAACCCTTCACACCGTCACCCCCACCTTTTTACAGAGAAGGAGGAAACTCCCAACTCTTAGCAGTAACACTATGATGTTTGAATAAGCGTCTGTATACACACTGTCACCACAGACAGATGTATCCAGAGGTTTTAAAACACACTAGCATTCTTCAGAGACAGGGAATCTTAGTTTGCATTAAAGAGCTTTAGAAACAGTTCAACACTTTTCAGGAAATAGGATTTATTACTAAAAATGTCAAAATGGTGCAATAAAAAAATTTAAAGAAAAGATGTAACAAATATATATATATATATAGATAGATAGATATATATATGAGAGAGAGAGCAATAACACAAAAGAGAGATAACAGAAAAAAGTTTAAGAAGGTAGGATACCTGCAGAGGTCTTTGTTTAAGCAGAGTTCAAGTGTCTTGAACAAAAGGGTTGCCTTTTCTCCCAAAGATGGTTCTTGATGTTAAAAGGGAGAATCTCTTCATCATCTCTCCAGGCATGACAGCCTTTTTTCTAGGAACCCAGCAGGATGTCTCCTTAAAGCAGAAAACCAGTGGCCTCATTCGGGGAGGGGTGTTTAGGCGGGGACTCAGGCTATGATCAAATCCCTCCCACGTTTATAGCATGGTCAATAACCTTCTATAGGTACATGTAGCATCCTAGTCACTGGCAGATTAATATGCAGAATGATATCCTGAACATCCACACATCAAATATGACATATCTTACCGTTCCAGTTAAAGACCTTTTGCTTTCTACTCTCGTGTAGGTGCCACATAGGGGGTAAGGTGTCAGGTGACTCGTATTAAACTGACTTATCTGAATATATGCTTTGTTTTATTGTACCTTGTTCCTGTCGGGATTTATGAATTTGTATGAAAAAGTGGTTTCAAGTGGGATGTATGTTTTACTGCCATTCTGGAATGCTTTTCATGTCCAGTGACAGACTGATTTATAGCTTTACGACCAGACCAAGGCAAGAGACAGACATCATGGAACCAGCTAATTGGGTTTACAACCATGAAGCGTATCCAGCAGTGCCCTGTGCACTCCTGAACTCAGCACACACAGACCACATTCCTTGCAAGGGGAGGGGGCTGGAGGGAGAGAGAATATTTGCAGAGTATGATATAAGATGGTGGATCTTAGCAAAATGGTTGTCCGCGTCCATATCTGTGCGCACAATTATCACACTAGTCTATTCCTAGACTAGTACTATCCCAGAGAAGCCCAAAAACCTTTCCAGTACATGCCTTACTTGGAGATATTTTTTCTGGAGACTGGGAAACTCCTGATAATTTCAGCCCTTGTGATCTTATTCCAAACACTGCTAGCCTACCATTCTTTGGTTAACACCTTTGTACAGTGTATCTCATGTGGCCCCCTCACCTACCAAGACAAATCCCCCCACCAGCGATACTGAATGAGGAAAGAACAAACAAATGGGCGCACAGGCCTAGTGCATTACCATAAAAAATGTTTAATAAGAAATAAAGTAGGTTGTTGTACTCACAAACGACAATTAAGTCAAGGCACATCATAAAAGAACAGCTGGGTCAACACCGCACTGAGTAACCGTCCACAATAGGGAGTGTAGACATCCAATAGGCTGACATTCGAAGGACTTGCATCTGGTCTCTGAGGAAGAGGCAAGTCCTCGAAACGTGTCAGCCTATTGGATGTCTACACTCCCTATTGCGGACTGTAACTCAGTGCGGTGTTGACCCAGCTGTTCTTTTATGATGTGCCTTGACTTTGTCATTTGTGAGTACAACATCTACTTTATTTCTTATTAAACATTTTTTATGGTAATGCACTAGGCCTGTGCGCCCATTGTTTGTTCTTTCCTCATTCAGTATATTTGGATTTCCCCGGTCTATTTTGAGGGCAGCAAGGTGTGCATGTTCCAGGACATTCTTAATGTGGTTGTATCCTGCATCGAGTCCATCCCCAAGCACAAGAGCATTTGTGTTTGCTGGTTCCCCCACCAGCGACATCACAATCTTTACTGGACTCTACATGGCAGTAAATAATAAGGCCTGGTTTACACTTTTTCAGTAGTCTCTGAAAAGCAATCCATAATGGATCTCTTTCCAGAGAGCAGTACAGAAGCAGCTGACGTACATTCGGGAGGCAATAATGTCACCCTTGTTTTTGGATAGCCATTTGATTTAGGCTCCATGTACACGAGCCTACCCTGACCGCCGGCTGCGGGAAAACATGGCAACAGCGGTACCGCGATTTTTCTGCGTTTTTGTGTTTTCCCGCGGTCGGCAGTCAAAACGTTCCTATCCTGAACATGATTCTTCCGCGTTCAGGAGAGGAACGTTTAACCGCACCTAAACGTGGCAGCTCCTAAACACTGCTAAAAGCCTATGTGTATGTGGACACGTAGACTTTATGGAGTTGAGTTTAGGAGCTTTGGCAAAAAAACAATGCTAGAGTTTAGGAATCTGCTCGTGTACATGAAGCCTTAAAGTGGTGGTCGATGATATGGCGGACTAAGATAATCTCAAATTGGTTAAAAATCTAGTGCAGCTGAGATGCATATAAAGGCTTGCAAAGCTGACAACATTGTGTGATGGGTTTTGATTTATGCATTGTACTTGTTTCAATGCCGTATTCTGCTTTCATGTGCTTTAGTGACCATTTAATCATTTTATGGCCCAAATATCCGTGAAAAGTATATGTAGCCTTCCTTCTGTATGAATAAAAACGTATTTATTGAATTTATTTTTGCAGTCTTAAACGGACAACAGACATGATGTTTGGAGGGAAGCAGGTGGTGGTGTGTGGCTATGGCGAGGTAAGTGCGTAAAAAAAGTCACATGGCATTTACTCTGTGTTTTAATAAACAAGCTGAGTTTATGAACAGAGCGTACATACAGATACAACAGTCTGATTTAGGATGTAGTGTGTTGACCAATAGCCTAATAATTTCACTTATTTTGGTTACCTTGTGATATTTTGTCCTTTAGGTGGGTAAGGGATGTTGTGCAGCCCTTAAGGCCATGGGCTCCATTGTCTATGTGACAGAAATTGATCCCATCTGTGCTCTTCAAGCCTGGTAAGCAGTGTGTGTCTGTCCTTGTTTTGAGGATCATTATGGGGGTCATCATACAGTAGATTACGTATGTCTGTCATTTAACATGAGCATAGCTGTTCAAACGTTTTATGTTGTATTTCCTAGTATGGATGGCTTCAGGCTTGTGAAGCTGAATGAGGTCATCAGACAGGTGGACATTGTCATCACTTGCACAGGTAAAATCTTTACTGAAATCTGTTTTTAACCATTCAACATTAATTTTTGTGTTACTTTGATGCGACTTTCAGGGAATGCCTTCCTGTAATGTCGGATCCATTCACATCAATATAGATAAGGATCTGACTTGGAGGCGACTTCTATTAACGTCTGTAGGTACAAGTCAGAAGTCACCTTGAAGTAGTACAGGAACCTTTTCTAAAGTCGGAGCCACTTCAGTAGTGCTAATTAAGACGGTTCTTTTCTCATTGATACTAACGTGATTTCACATGTCGTGGGTCTCAAGTAGGATCCCAAGTCGTAGCAGTGTGAACCAAGCCTAAAGCTTAACACAATGTTACTGTGTGAATGTTTCTAGCTTTCTCAAATAGTTTTCTTGCAGTTCTTTTGCTCCATAGTTTAGACCAGGGGTCCTCAAACTTTTTAAACGGGGCCAGTTTAAAAAGTTTATATATTGATTAGTTCCTATTTCAGTGGTAAAAATGGAAAGCATTAACACATTAGGAAGAGTTTTAACATTTGTTTGCTTATAACAGATTTATTTATTGTAAGTCTACTAAACATTGAGTCCTGAGTAACAAATTAAAATATTTGTTGTATTTAAAGCATGGGCATTCAACCTGTGACCATCCAGCTTTTGTGGAACTACAAATCCTATGAGGCATTGCAAGGCTGACAATTACAAGCATGACTCCCAAAGGCAGTAGCATGTTGTGGCTTGTAGTTCCGCATCAGCTGGAGAGCAATAGGTTGAGCACCAATGATAAAACGCATACCCAACAAAGTAAAATGAATCCAAGTGGCTAAAGAGCCACTGGATTACTTTTACAGGTGATGGAAGGAGTCCTCACCCCTCCCGCTGCCACCTTCACCATGCTCTCCTGAGTGATAGGAGTGCCTGGCAAGGATGCGATCAGCAGCATCGGGTTCCTGAGACACATTCCTCCCACTGTGTGCCTTCAAACTGGAAGCGACAAGGATTTTTCTCATGTAAACAAGCCATTAGTGGATTGTAAAAGCATTGGATCAGGATCAAACCAATCTGTTTGATCCGATGCTTTGGAAACCAGAGGAGACAGACTCCAGGTCTGTACAAAAATAGGATCTGTCTCAGCCCATGCTATCACAAGGGATAATGTTCATCCCTTGTGATAGCAGTAAACGAGATTATATAAGTGAGCAATTTAAAAAAAAAAAAAAATAAAAATTAAAGTTGGTGTAAAAAAGAGAAACATTTAAAGTAATAAAATTAAATGTTTAAAAGCACCCCCGTTCCTGCGTGCTCAAATGTAAATGAGAATGCATGCGGCGATCCCACGCGCATATGTAAATTGCACCACATGTGCGGTATTGCTGTGAGAGCGAGAGTAATAATTCTAGCCCCAGACTTCCTGTGTAACTCTAAACTAAAAATGTTTTTAAAGCATTGCCTATGGAGATTTTTAGGTACTGAAGTTTTTGGCGCTGTTCCACAAGCATATGCAATTTTAAAGCATTGCATGTTTGGGACCCAGAGTAACATTTTTTATATATATATTTTATCTACAATTGAGTATTGTATTGTGTTTCTATGCAATTCGAAGTACAGGCAGTCCCCGAGTTAAGTACATTCGGCTTACGTAATACTCATACTTACGTACACTTCCCTCGGGACCGGAAGTCAAGCTGTCAGCATTCTTGTGCAGCAAGCTGATAAGAGACTAGCTGATAAGAGACATCAGAGAGACATAAGAGACAGAGACATCCATTGCTCGTTACTTGTGGGGCTAGCAGTGTCTGCCCACTATCTCCAAAGTGATTTAAGACTGTCTGTCTGCACCTCCGGGGAGAGGAAAGGAGAGGCTGTCAGGCTGCTCACTGAAGTGATCCTCCGTCTGTGCAGGGGGGAGGGGGCAGCGTGTGCTGTGTAAAGGAGAGCAGAGTTCTCTCATACAGTACATATACAGTACAGTGTATTTTTAGATGAGCAGATAGAATTTAGAGAAGAAACTCAGGGGCTAGAAACTCCACAAACCAAAAAGTTTTCTACAAAAGCGTTAGCTAATGCTTTTGATCTCATTGAAGCAGGAATGGCAAATTTAGAGGAGCAAGATCCTGATACAGAGAGGTTTGCAAAAGTTTATCGTGCAGTTACTGAAGGTCTGAAATGCTATAAGACTATTTATGAAGAGAAAAAGAAAAGCTCTGTACAAACCTCCCTTGATGCCTACTTTACAAAATTGACCCCAGCAGCAAAATCAAGCTCTGCATTACATTTGGATGTCGGAGACACTGTTGCTGCCCAATCCTCTCCAACATGCCATCCTCTGCCAAGATAGTTTAAAGTTGTACTCTACACTGTACAAGAGTTTACAGTATAATATTTGAATGTTGAATTTGATGTTTAAACATTTACATGCACATAAAAGTTAAATATGTTAAGGCAAACATGTGTCCAAGCTGCAGTTCTTATGCAAAACACCAGTTTAGAGCCTCTTGAGGTTTTACTGCTTTCTGTAACCTTATTACAAAAAACGTAATCTAATATCCTGTCGTTTGGTTAGTAGTTAGTGCTTATAAAAGTGCCTGATTCAACTTATGAACAAATTCGACTTATGAACAAACCTACAGTCCCTATCTTGTACGTAACCCGGGGACTGCCTGTATATTTTATCCAAGAAATTTGAGTATAAAAAAACGCTGCTCTCCAATACCTTGTGACATACAAAATACACAACATCCACCATTTTATTTTCTAGGCTTTTTTTTTTTTTATTTATTTACATGTAGAAGAGGAATGACAGGATTGGCCTGGACTGGAAGTGGTTAAAATATTCTATAAAGCAAACTTGTGACCACACTGCAGCTGTATAGAAGGCATCATCTGTCACTTCTAATGTTTAAAGCCCTTGCCATCACCCCAATGTTCCTTTTTGTAAAACCCACCCAAGAAAATAGCATTTTGGCCATGGGAAGAAAATCCCCTACCCTGCTCCCATTTTTTTTTTTTTTTTTTAATCTCTATGGCCAGGTCAAGGTTCTGCTTCACAGTCTAGCTCTATAGTGATGCCAACTCTGTGTAAGTCTATTGTTTCATCGAACCTTTGGTTCGGGAGCTTCAGTGGCAATTCTGAGACAGTGGACAGCACCAGGGGGTGCTTCTTTGCAGCTACAGTGTTATATTCATACCTTTCATTCATTTAAAACAGATTCCAAGTTTAGTTTTAGATATAGATGGTTTAAGCTAGCACTTTTCCATGTGACTGTGGAAGCAAATTGATATGCTCAGAATGTTTTCAGAAGTACTTTCTAGTATTTAGCCTATGACAGAATGTTCATATTATAATAGTCTGTAACATGTTCAGGCAACAAGAATGTGGTGACCAGAGAGCACCTAGATCGTATGAAGAATGGCTGCATTGTCTGCAATATGGGACATTCCAACACTGAAATAGATGTGGTAAGTAGAAATCATCATTATATTAGAGAAGCCGTACTAGACATTCATTTCTGTGAGCCAATTTGGCCCTGTTCTTGTCCCCCTAATTCCCGTAATGCACTCTACAGGCAGGGCTGGTGCAAAGATTTTTGTCTACACAGGCAAAGGTGCATTTTGGGTGTCTCAGAGGGTAAGATGGGCAGAGGTTCACCAACCTGTGAAAAGCTGCATCTAAAAATTGTTGAACAATTTCAGAATTTAAAAATTGTAAAATTGCAAAAACATTAACCCATTCCCGCCGTCGCTTCCCGGCCCTTTAGGAGTTTCAGAAGGCGGGGCGAGGTTTAGGGATCATGTGATGCGTCGTCACGGCGGTCACATGATCGGGAAAGGTCCCAATCGAAAGAGCAGACCGTGACATTTCCGGGACCTTTCCATGAGTACCGGACGTGTGCTGGGAGCGTGCAGGGCACGCGTTCTCAGCACATATGTTTTTTCTTACCTGAACGCAAATGTGCGGCCGCGCTCGGCATCTAGGCCCAGACACCGGGAGGCCACACGTTTGTGTTGTGTGGCGGGTGTAAAGGGGTTAAACATATCGTCTGCAGTACATAATATCAAGATTCAGAGAATCTGGAGAAATGTGTGTAAGGGACAAACCTGAAAAGCAATATGGGATGCTCATGATCTTTAGGTTCTCAGATCGAACTGCATTAAAACCGGCATGATTCTGTGATGGACATCACAGTGAACACAGTTCATGGTGTCTTCAAAAAAAGGTAAAGCTCTACCATGCAAAGAATCCATATCTGAACATGACCCAGAAGCGCCACGGTCTTCTCTGGGCTAAAGTGCATTTAAAATTGCCTGTTGCAAAGTGGAAATCTATTCTGTGGTCAGACGAATAGAAATGTGACGTTCTTTTTTGCAACCATGGGCACTGCATTATCTGGATAAGAGGACAGGGACCTTCCAGCTTATCAGCTTTCAGTTTAAAAACTTGCATCTCTTATGGTATGGGAGAGCATTAGTGCGGATGGATTGGGCAGCTTTGACATCTGAAAAGACGCCATTCATGCTGAAAGATATATCCAGGTTTTAGAATAGCATATTAATTCATCAATTTCAAAATTACCTTTTTTCTTAAAATGGTAAATTTTCTCAGTTTAAACATGTTAGATTTTCTTTTTCCTATTGTGAATAAAATATGGGTTTGAGATTTTCAAATAATTTCATTCTGTTTTTAAATGTAGATTTTACACAACTTCCCAATTTTTTGGGAATTGGGCATTTATATTCTTCCTAATCTCGGTTTACTGGGTAATCTGCAGTACATGTGATTTTTAAACTTTTTTATTTTCCCTAGGCAAGCCTGCGCACTCCGGAGTTGACGTGGGAGCGAGTTAGGTCTCAGGTTGATCATGTTATCTGGCCTGATGGCAAAAGGATTGTTCTTTTGGCAGAGGTATGAAGTATAAATTTGCTGCTAATATATTCCTTTTAGAGATCAATTTGGTATGGAAATGCAAACTTTCCCTAGTCAAAATCACGTACCAAACAATCAGTTGATCAAGAGATATTAACAACTAAATTTTATGATAATCACAACATTGCCTGTAAAAGACCTTGTCCCCTCTCCATCTACCTGTTAAACCTTCCTGTTGATCCTTCAATGTGGTGAAGAGTTTGGAAACAAGGGAAGAGCCAAAGATTGACTTTTAGAGGAAAAGTCGATTTGCATTGAAAGACCTATATCTTTCACTAAAATTTAATCTCTGGTTGCTGTGTTTTTTGTTTTTCTTTTTGTGTTTGTCTTTTTTTTATCCTTTGCTCATTGTGAATTGCCGTGTTTACACATGTGCTCCTGAATTAGAGAAATAGAATACCTATGTAAATAATCCAAGTGTGCTTCATCTCTATTTTAATATGAAAATAAATTAACAGTTGCTATCTGGATTCTAGTTTTTGGTGTGGAAAACCGAATGGGATGAGGAGATATTTCTCTGTGGTGAAGCCAGTGTAATTTAATCATAAGTAGCATGGAGCCAGTTGATTATTAACATTTTCTAACCAGTTTTTTCTTCTATTTGTGAATTAAGTTGACTTAAAACTCTCCAAAATAAACATTTCTGCAATCCCCCCCCCCCCCCCCCCCAACAAATATTGCAAGTACAAACAACCTTGAAGGTGTTTACTAATGTAGTAAAGGCACTGTCTCCGTTTCCCCCCCACTATGAACAAGATATAAACTGGTACAATTTTTATTATAACTGCTGTTTTCTAAAGGCCTACAGTGCTCCTGATACACAGAGGAATAGAGCAGGACACTTACAGATTACATTGGGACAGCTAGTCTGCTGGTATAGCGACCTCCATGCCACAGGATCCTTGCAAGGGTCAACCGTTAGCCATGCCACTTTTTTTGTGGTGTACTCTGTGGAAACACTGCTCCCACTTATTTATTTTTTTGTAATATGCACTTTCAATATTATGGTTGCTTGCTTGAAAAACTACCACATGCATTTTAAGGTGCCGGACTAATTTGGTAGTTTAAATGTAATTTATTTTGTAAATTAATAGCAATCTCAAAGTGTCTCCTTTAAATTGTCACAGGGGCGTCTCCTGAACCTGAGCTGTTCCACTGTCCCAACATTTGTTCTGTCTATTACTGCGACCACACAAGTAGGTATCTTAGAAATTTGTGCATATATTTTTGATTTTTTTACTTGAAGACTTTGTACATATCCTCGGTTTTTTATGTCTAACATTCCTTATGCCACAGTTTGTTTTAAAGAAAATGCTTTAGCAGCCAGGCCCAACGTGGTATATTTTTATATACACAGCCCTTCCCCTCTGCTGCTGGTCACCTTATTTGCCATTTTCAGGGTGTAATACAGAGCTATGAATATTTGTAATTGCTGATAAATTCACAGGGCTCTAAAGTTAGATGTTCATGGGCTAATGGTTTAAGGAAGGGTGGGGTTCAAAATGATTTAGCTGCTTACAATGCAGCCATTTCCTTTCTACAGTGTGAATTTTCAAATCAATTTTGTGTTTTTACAAAAATATTTTTGTATCCACAGTTACATTTTTTAAGCAAATATTGTACCCTGTTAGCATTTTCTTGGCAGTTGTTATATGGTTAGTACAGTTATGTTCTTGTTTAAAGCTGATCTCTAGCTGATAGTGAAGTTTGAATAGTTTGGACCAAGCTGGTCAAACTATTTACTTCACTAAAAGAAGCAGTGTCTGTATGTGCTGCATAAGCTGTATATTGCATCAGCTACACACAGTATATAGTGCTCTGGCAGGGGGAAGGGAGCTTCCCATCCTGCACTCAGATCAAAATAAAGTCAGTCTGAGCACTGCCTAGCCATTCACTGGAAGCTTTGTATTTTCTGTATGAATACAAAGCTTCCTCTGATTCACTGAAGCAGAGAAGCGGATGGAAGATATAATTTATGCCTCAGCCAATCAGAGGAAGCTTTGTATTCATTTAAAAAATACAAAGCTTCCTGTGAATGGCTGAGCAGCGCTCAGACCAACTTGATTTTTGCTGAAACAGAGCGCTGTATGCTGCTGAAGCTAAATACATTTTATATGCCGCACACAGCCGCTGCATCTCTTAGTAAAGTAAAAAGTTTGGTCCAAACAAACTATAAAAAACACAAAAAGCTGGAGATGGAGATCAGCTTGAAAAAAGCTGCTACTTGATTATGTACCTTAATTTTTATAATGACTTCAATTTTTATTTTTCTCCAGTAAAGTACCTCCAAGACTGGGGGGATAACAGGGATTAGAAGTAGGAGCCTAGATTTTTTTTTAGAATGCACAAGAAGAGAAAGAGTGGGCAGATTGGTGAGGTCACCTGTCACTTCTGTTGGCTACTATAAAGCCCATTACAGAAGGGTTTAGAAAGATGTTCTTCTATAGTCGCGTTGAGTTAAACTTTGCCTCATTCGACCAGAGTTATGTTAGTTCTGTCTACTGCCATTGCAGTCTTCATACAACACTACCAAGAATTTTGCAGAATTTTTCTGGGAAATAGAAGGATAATTTCTACTTTCACCGTTAATGGATTCTTTGCTTGTGAGTGCATGGGTTTGCTCTGGGTGCTCTTGCTTCTTCCCACAATCCAGAAACATGCTTGTAGGTTAACTGGTATCTGCCCTTTCCATTTATGGCCATGCTTGAATGACAGGAGTAGATGTTTGATTGTAAGCTGCTCTTGAGTAAGGCCTGGTGATAATGACCTTTCCTGAAGTGCTATATAATTGTTTGTTCTGTTCTGTAGTGCTGAAGAAAATAAATCTGTCTTTTCTTAGGCACTTGCTCTGATTGAACTCTATAATGCTCCTGAGGGTCGCTATAAACAGGATGTCTACCTGTTGCCTAAAAAGATGGGTGAGTGTCTTGATAAATTTAAAATTTAAAATGTGGAATTTCATTTTTATGTCTCTTCTCTAACTGGATGGAATCTCTGTCCTGTAGACGAATATGTGGCCAGCCTTCATCTTCCCACTTTTGATGCCCACCTTACTGAGCTATCAGATGAGCAGGCCAAGTACCTGGGTCTGAACAAGAATGGACCTTTTAAACCAAATTACTACAGGTATGTGCACTCAAGAGGGAGCGTGCTTTAAAAAAAAAACCTTATAGAGAAAATATCAGACTGCTGATATGATGTGCTTTGGTGTTATTGGGCCTCATTTTTACAAAACAATTGAAAATATTGTTAAAATGCTATAAGACTCTTTGCTAGTTACTAAACAGATTACATATTCATTGCAGTATGCTAATCGAAAATACAGAAATACAAATTATTGTTGAACTTACTGCATCGCATGGCAGACCTTAAAACAAATATTCACTGACCTGTAGCTGCAGGCACAGCACAATAATTCATTCTTAGAACTTGTTCAAACCAGTGAGCTGTGCTGAATGCGTAGCTACTGGTGTGCTCTTGGGGGCACTGCTCATGTGGTGTTCCCAGCACATCACACTGTTAGCATTTTTTTTCACAGAACTTTGAAATGTTTTAAGTGACATTCACCGCAGTGGTGTAATTTGATTGTTCATGTCGCACCCACTGCACTAATAAAAAGTACTGTATGCCGTATTTTTTTTTTCCTTCCAGTGCACACAGCACTGCATACAGACTACGCAAGAAAAAAAGGCATTTCAACCTCTCCTGTGCACTGGGGCAGCACTGGAATTAGCTACTACAGTAGCCCCAAGGTATCTGGTGTGACTTTACCGTCATTTCTGACTAGAGCCCTCGTGAGAAAAAGATGCTTCCTCTTGCCCTTTCGCCAAGATGATTCGTTACAGGACCGATATTTTGCACCGTATTCTGTTAGAACCCCACAAGGGAACATTCTCATCTGTAGCTATGGTGGAAACCAGGGAAAAGGCGGCCATGGCTAGACCTAAGGTGAGCATTTGCACTGCTAAAGGCCTGGCCTGTACAACTCTCTCAAATATCTAACTGTATCATCAAGCATTTTGCAGATAGAAAGCTTGAGATGCTTTTGAAAGCTTTCTTTACTCTGGAAGGCTCAGCCCTGCAACCAGGCTTCAAAGCAATTTCAGTATATCAAACTGCAGCTAACTGGACTAGGGCAAGGAACACCCAGGAGGATCTTGTATTTCGGGACCTTGCTTCAGTTGCTTTTCATTCTGTTTTGTGTGGATGCCCTAGAACAGTGGTGGGCAACCTTTTTTTTCAACTGAGCCAAATCTCGCCAAAACCACGATTTAAATTTATTTTGAGAGCCACATTTTTAAAACTGAAAACATATACATAGGATGGTACACTGTTTTTAGTTTCAATAAGTTTTTATAGTAATTCATCCCCCATATAGTAATTCATCCCCCATATAGTAATTCATCCCCCATATGGTAATTCATCCCCCATATGGTAATTCATCCCCCATATAGTAATTCATCCCCCATATGGTAATTCATCCCCCATATGGTAATTCATCCCCCATATGGTAATTCATCCCCCATATGGTAATTCATCCCCCATATGGTAATTCATCCCCCATATAGCAATTCATCCCCCATATAGCAATTCATCCCCCATATAGCAATTCATCCCCCATATAGCAATTCATCCCCCCTATAGTAATTCATCCCCCCTATAGTAATTCATCCCCCATATTAATTCATCCCTCATATAGTAGTAGTAAGTAAGTAGCAAGTAGTAAGCCAAGTCCCCCCTGTGTCAATTCACTTACCTTTGCTCCGCGCGTTCCTCTCGCCGTGTTGCAGCGCCGTTCCGGTCTTCAGGGCGGACTGTGAGAGGAGCCTAGCTCCTCTCACGTTCGTCACGCTGCCCCGCCTACACACATCCTGACAGCCAATCACTGGCTATCAGGATGTGAGTGGCAGCGAGACTGGCCAATCATTGCATTTGAGCGCGCTGCCCTGGCTGTTTTTTTTTTTTTTTGATCACGCTGCAGAGTCCCTGCCGCCCGAGAGGAGGGAGGGGAGCGGGCACCCGGCACACAAGAGCCGCATGTGGCTCGCGAGCCGCGGCTTGCCGACCACTGCCCTAGAACGTGTCATGAAACACATTGACTTTATCAAAGACTTAAATTATCAAAGAAGTTACAGCAGGTAAAGTTTTACTTCCACATAGGAAGATTCCAAAACTCCTCAGAAGCCTCTACCACCTCAAAACACGGGGCACCTAAGTTCTCTACCCAGGATTCCACTTCAAAGTGTAAGTTCAGCCCTTTCTTTTGGCACAAGTCTTCCAAAAAGACCTGCTGGGGGAAAGTATGTGACTTAGAGGCAAACCATCCCTTGTCCCAGGGAGCAGCTTTGCCAGTACATCAAGCTTCTAATCCAGACCTGTTCAGGGGTTTTGTCCTATTCTGGACTGAAAATCCATCCGTTAATACCTTTTTTAAAAATCCAGAATTTTTCATGGAGTCACCGATTGCCTCCCTGATACAAGGGAAATGCCTGACATCAATAGATATCCAAGATGCTTAACTGCATAGCACCATTTATCCGCCTCATTGGCACATTCTGAGCTTTGCAGTGGCGTAAAATTTCCTGTTTGTTGCACTGCCTTCAGTCTATCTTCTGCGCCGAGGGTAATCACAAGGTCCTAGCACCTTCGCTCCTTCCTCAGAACTCAGGGCATCCAGGTCACAAGTTATGTAGGCTACCATCTCTTAAATTAATACTGTTACCGTTGTTTGCAAACATCCACAGCACAATTCAGAAGTATACATCCTAACTTCTAGTTTTAACAAGAAGCTACCTCTGTTTGTTGCCAGGACCAGTGATCTTCTAGCACTAGCTTCAAATGCCCTGATAATTCCCTGGTCCCTGTTCTGTCTAATCTGTGCTTTTCCCCCATTGTGAATTTTCCCTTCTCTGCTTAAAAAGATAGAGGAAAGCACAGTAGCTAAGTGATTAGAACTTCTGCCTCGCCTAGCAGCTCTAAGGTTGTCAGTTTGAATTCCAGCCACTACACTACCTGCTTGGAGTTTGCATGTTCGCACTGTGCCTGTGTTGGCTTCTTCTGGGTACTCCACCCATACTCCAAAGACATGTTGGTAGGTTAATTGGCTCCTGTCTAAGTTGTCCCTAGTATGTGTATGTGTTAGGGATGCACCGATATTTATAAATAAATTAGTGTAGCGCTAAACATTCAAATAAGACTGGACCGCTATAATAAATAATAATACATAATAAATAAATACTGTGATAAGTGCTGTGATCCTCTCAGTGCTCTTAGACCACTAAATACCCTTGTAAATATCACTCTATTACAAATAAAGCAATATACTCATATTCCATAAAAAATATATTGTGATGGTGCCACTTCAAAAAAAAAAAAATAAATAAATAAATCAATATCGAGTGATAGTGCCACTTCAACTTCATTCAATGTCCAATGTTCAAATCCAAATCCGTCTATTCCAAGTGTTCTCTATAAACATGCACAGTGTTTATATATAAATAGTGCCACTCGTGAACCAACACACTTCTTTCCACTTCGGCTGCAATGCCTGCTCACCTCCTTCCTGTGACCCCTAGGGGCCCACAAGCCTTTAGGATCACCCTGGATCCTCAAAAATCCTGGTTTGGCACCTTTCTGATATTCCTCCTATCAGGCCTCCTCCACTCCTTCACTGTTATGCCTCACAGGCTCCTCACCAGCGATTGTCTGCAAACTCTCTCTCACAGAATTAGTGAGTGAAAAAACAGATCCTCCATAGTGTAGTATTTCCAATATGTAAGGGTTTAATAACATATAGCCAAAAAGTAACTCACATTCGGTTGTACAGCGGCAATACCGTCCCTAGATGGGCAAACTGCAAACCTTTGATAATACTTCCTGATAACCAGGAAAATGGCGTCCCACACCGGAAGTGCGACACTCCGGATACCTGAAGTTGCGTCTTAGCTTGCCTTGATGCCTGAAACTGGCACATGTGCAGATACGTCGAGGGGGACAGATCCTCATAGGAGACAGATTTTCATGCTACACCGGAACGGCGCGGGAACACGGCGAGAGGAACGCGCGGAGCAAAGGTAAGTGAATTGACACAGGGGGGACTTGGGGACTTAATATGGGGGATGAATTACTATGGGGGATGAATTACTATATGGGGGAATGAATTACTATGGGGAATGAATACTATGGGGAATGAATTACTATGGGGAATGAATTACTATGGGGAATGAATTACTATGGGGAATGAATTACTATAGGGGGGATGAATTACTATATGGGGGATGAATTACTATGGGGGATTAATTACTATGCTTACTATGGGGGAATATTACTATACTTACTATGGATGACACATACACATCATTCATCTACTCTTGGTCCGGCCCCCGGGTCCAATATATGAACCCATTGCGGCCCTCAAGTCAAAAAGTTTGCCCACCCCTGGGCTAGACAGCTTCTTATTGGTCAGCACCGTGACGTCATCTCTGCATGGTGAGGAGAGACAGCCGTGAGGGATTTTAAATCTCCAGACTTGCGAAGCGGCTTTTCCTTCTGTGACAGCATGGGATCAGTGCAGGGAAGTTTCCCGCACCGCTCCTGTGCGAACCCATAGTCAAGAGCAGTAGGAAAATCGCATGGGGTTTGGACAAAAATTGCATACCTGTTCAAATCGCATACTATTCTTTGCAGTGGAATTTGCGTCCCTATATTTTGTATGGACGCAAATCACACCACAAAGTATTGGTACTCTGTGTTGGCGAGTACTTGACCAAAAATATTGGTACTCGTACTCACTGATCAAAAAAGGATATCGATGCATCCCTGGTATGTATGAATGCAAGTTGAGTACTTTTAGATTGTAAGCTTCTTGAGGGCAGGACCTGATGTGAATGTACAAAATATATGTAAAGCGCTGCGTAAATTGACCGGGTTATCGAAGTACCTGTAATAACTAAAAATAAACAAAAGAGGAAGAATGTTAATCTCATTGCGCCCAACCTGGTACACAGATCTACTGAGACTTGCATCAGACGACCCCTGGCTTCTCTCCAACCAGCCAGATCTGTTGTCTCAGGGCCCTCCTCTATCCTCTTTCTCTGTTTCTGGCTTTATTGACATGGCTCCAGGTCTAAA